CATCATAAAGATTCACTTGTTTATATTCCAAAAGATTTATATAATTGCAAATTTGTTTTAGTAAGAATTGATAGGAAAAGAACTGGTTTACAGGAACCATATGAAGGACCGTTCGAGGTTATAGAAAAGACACCGAAGTGGTTCAAAATTAATTATCACAACAAATTAGTAAATGTTTCTATAGACAGTTAAGCCTGCATTTCTAGATGGAAGTAAACTTAGTTCATCCAGCAAGACGAAGCGAGTTACTTTTAATTTGTTAGATATGAAAGTTTTTGGAAGAGGGGAGTAGTGTAGTGATACACATTACTTGTTAAACACTTGTTCTTAAAATACTTTGAATTATGAAAATATCTTGTTACATTTATTTATGTACGATCAATTTTGAGTTGAAAATTTTTATATTCATTCATTCAGTTTTCAATATTCAATAAAATAAAACCTGGAAAATTTGTTAAACTTAAAAAAACGAAAATTAAATATTTTTTAATATACCTAAATAGTCATCATGGGCGGAACAGAGACTGAACTATCTGAGCGTCTAAATGAAGTGCTATCTCGATTCGATAAATCAGGTTTACATCTTCGCCGGGATAAGTGCAAATTTGGAGTACACACCATACATTTTTTACGGTTCAAAATTGATGGTTTTGGGGTTAGGCCTTCACCAGAGAAAATGAAGGCCATTAATAATGCTCTGGTCCCCACAGATAAGAAACAGCTGCAGGCTTTTCTTGGACTGTTAAATTTTTACCACTACTTTCTGCCAAATAAGGCTACAATTGCAGAACCCCTGCATCGCCTCTTAGAGAAAAATAGGAATTTTGTCTGGAAAGCTGAGCACCAATGTTCTTTCAATAAATTAAAGCACCTAGTCACTTCTGATAGCGTACTCGTCAATTACGATGAAAACTACCACTGATACTCGTTTGCGATGCCTCACGGTATGGCATTGGGGCCGTACTAAGCCATAGAATGTCTGATGGGTCTGAAAGGCCTATAGCATTTTATTCAAGAACCTTGTCGAAATCCGAGAAAAACTATGCACAAATCGACCGCGAAGCTACCGCCATCGTAGCTGGCGTGAAAAATTTTCATGACTACTTATATGGTAGAAAATTTACATTGGTTACGGATCATCGTCCGCTTCCGGGCATCTTCAGCACAACAAAGCAGACCCCACTGATCCTGTCCCCCGTAATGTTGCGTCGTTGCGTGTTCCTGAATGCATACAACTTTGAATTTATTTATAGAGAGGTTAAGAAGATGGGGAACGCGGATTGTCTAAGCCGCCTACCCATTGAAGAGCCTCATACTGGGACTAATGATGGAGAAGTACTCATGATCGAGTTGGCTAGTACCGAAATCGTCAACGCCAAAGATATCGCAAAGCTCTCGTCGAAAGATGCGCCACTCACTACTCACGCAGCTGGGCGTTAGGGGGCTGGCCGTGTTCGGTATTACGGAACGATGAAGCATATCCATACTTTCTGCGCCGCAACGAGATCAGCACTCTTAAAGGATGTCTCTTATGGGGGAACAGAACTATTATCCCACCGCCATGTCGTCAGGCCATCTTACACGCATTACATTCAGGAAATCCTGGCATCGTAAAAATTAAGGCATTAGCCAGAAGCTATGTCTGGTGGCCTAGAATGGATCTAGACATTGAGAATACTGTTAAGCATTGTACTCCGTGCCAAGAAACTCGTCACGAAAAGGTTCAGGCAGAAGTCCATACTTGGGAAATGGCAAAAACCGCATGGTCGCGACTGTATGTCGACTTCGCGGGACCTTTTCACGGCAAACTATTTTTTTTAACGGTCGACTCATATTCCAAGTGGTTGGAAGTCCATATTGTTAAATCTACATCATTTTATGAAATCTTTGCGCTCCCTCTTCGCGACTCACGGGCTACCAGATTTAATAGTGTCTGATAATGGCACGGCGTTCTCATCGGTAGAGTTCAAAGACTTCATGACAAATAATTTAATTCGCCATGTCAGATGTACTCCATTTCACCCGTCGTCTAATGGGCAAGCTGAGCGAATGGTTCAGACGACAAAGGATTTTCTTAAAAAACTACCAGCAAATTCGGAATGGGACCTGAACCTGACGAGATTTGTATTCAATCAGCACATTAGTCCACATTCAGCAACCGGTCGTTCACCTGCAGAGTTATTTTTCAATCGCCAGCTGAAAACATACTTTGACAAAGTCCACCCGCATCAGCTCTCACCTGCCGTCGAAAATCCTGCTGTAAAGGAAACATTTTTCGAAGGAGACCCTGTATGGGTCCCCAACTTTTCGTCTGGCCCTAAATGAATAGAGGGCCACATCCACTCCAAAACCGGCCCATTATCTTACAAGATTCGCCTTAAAGATGAACGGTTAATTAAGCGCCACTTAGACCAAATTAGGAACCGATCACCTGTTGACGCCGGCATAATTTCATCAAACGATGAAAATGCCACGCCTATGGAACCAATTTCGAGCGATGACTCAAATGCAAACGACTCTGAATCTGAGACAGCTTCACCACCTTCTGAGACACCACAGAAGAATACATCCCTAAGCTCGCATCAATCGCCCACATCGCCGGCAGATAATGCACCCGATAGAGTCATCGTACCATCATCACCCCAACCACCGACTCCAATGCGATCAAATCGCCCACGAAAGATTCCGGTATTTTACTCGCCATCTGGGCGTTAGGGGGTGTCAAATATTAAGCACCCTGTTTGGCATTTTCGTACGATTTCTGCTAGTCTGTCTTCCCACGTTATTCGCACACCTACAACATCACACACTGGAAGTTGTCTGACAGCATTCTTGTGAGAGGACCAGCACTTGCAGTTTTAATCTTTTGACAGCATCAAGCTGAAATCAATACATTTTGTAATTTGCTATTATATCAAATAAAGTTGCATTAAATTAAGTTGAAACGTTAATTGCATAAATCTGACGGATTTATTAAACGGAAAACAGCAAACAAATCAAAAAATAACAAATTTTGTAGAAAAATATATAGTAGTTTTAAAAAACAGCAAGTGCACGCGCTAATCTTTGTTGACGATGTTCGTTACTCCGGCATGTGGAAATCGGAAGATTATATACTTCCCGTTATCTTTCAACTGTTTGCTTCATAATAAAAAATAATAATTGACTACATAGAGAATGTTCAGGTAACTTTTTTTTTTTGGAAGTTTGCGACCCTCCCAATCCCTCGCGTCACGCTCAAATCGTCAGATTATTGAAATGCACACTTTTCAGCATGTAATTAACCCACCATTTCTTAATCTGACGCGCTCAAGTAAATCCACCTATCATTTTTTTTTTTACTATTCTTATCAGCTCTCCTATGCACGGCTTAGATTTGGCAGAGGTACTCAATAGGATGCAGGGTATCCCCCATATGTTAATCTGACGCGCTCGAGAAAACCCCCGAATCCCCTCTTGGGCTCCCCTACTGTTAAGTAGTTGTATGTTATAAAAAGTGTAAATGAACTTTTCAGGGAAATGAAGTGGACGCTTTCTGGTGCTTTGTTGGCTTTATGGATATGGTCTTCGCCAACTTCGATATTGATCAGGCTGGTATGAAAACGCAATTTCGTCAACTTCGTCGTTTAGTTGAATTTTCTAATCCGCGACTTTTTAACTATTTGGTCGCACATGACTCCGATAATATGTTTTTCTGCTTCCGCTGGTTACTTGTTTGGTATAAACGTGAATTCTCAAACGAGGATGTGCTCAAGTTGTGGGAGTGCCTTTGGACTCGATTTCCATGCCCCAATTTTCATTTGTTCATTTCTGTATCCATATTGGACAAAGAAACTGATATTATAATCGAAAACAAATATGAATTCACGGAGATTTTAAAACACATCAACGAACTCTCAGGTCGCATCGACGTCAAAGATACATTAGAAATAGCGGAGGCACTTTATCTGCAAATTAAAGCGGTGGAAGATTTGCCTAATGATATTCGGCAAATTATAGGGGAGCCGCATTTGGTATCAGAACAGGACAAAGAATTCCATGAAAATATAGTAGAACATGATTTATCAGATGAAATGTATGAACTAGTGCATAAACCAGAGGAGGAAAGACGGCATGAAGAGCAGTTCGACGAAGCGTGTGAGCGCTCAATGTTTTTAAATTACACATAAGTAGTCAACTACTGTTTATTGTTTTACTATTACTACACCGCAAACATATTCTGAGCGCTTAGAAAATATCAGTCCAGAATGAGTTCTACGTATGTAAGAAATATAAGTTTCAAAAAATATAAAGATTTGCCTTATACATATATCTCACACCTAGATCTAAAGTGAGCTAACTCAAAATTCAGATCGAGAAATTTAACTATTTGTGTGTACATTCAACGCAATTAATACAAAAACAGTAGTTTTCTAGTTAGTGTATATAATCATGAAGAAAAAAGGTAAGGAGGTAGGTACTATGCATTGATTTCTGTGAAAAAATTGTCCTAATTTGTTTTGAGTTGATCGCACTTTAGATCTAGGTGTGCGATATGATACCTTTAGCCTCTTTTATGATACAAATTATGAGCCGTAACCTTCTTACAACAAAAAGCAATACAGATTCGGAATTTCTTTCTAAACCTTTTATAAAAAACATGAACAATAATAAAAACTAAAATATATATGTTTGTAAATAGAATTTGACTGCAATTGCTGATGTTTAAGGTATGTACTTTCGCCTTTCGAGTTATTCGAAAAATGTTAATTTGAAAAAAAAAACAAAAATGTTTCTCTTCTTTGAAAGTAAGATAAAGCCGGATAAACCGGATTTATTTAACATAGTTTTCGTACAGTGAAAATGCTTATGTTTAGTGCTCGGAATCTCATGCAAATGCATGTTTTTAATGGGGATCTTCGAATGTAAATAGTAAAGTTATCTTCACGAATCATGAAATATTCTTTAAAATGGCATTCAATCATTAGTGCATAATTTTTCATAATTTGCTGTAAATACGTTGTTTTGCATATTTTGCAAAAAAGACCTGTTTTTGCATATTTATTGCACATATTTTAGTATATTTTATGATACATACATGTGCTTTTTGCATATTTTTTCTTATTTTTTTATATTTATTTTACATTCCCGTTGAGCCATTAACTCGAGATAACGTTTTGAGTTTATGTACAACTGTCAAGTGTTCCCATTGGGGTGTTTAAGAAACTCGACAGTTTAATTTGACATTTATTTGCTTACTTTTTCTTATTCACATTTAGCCTGTTCCCGTACTCCCGGATTTAGACAGAAATAGTCCGAAGTAGCCGTGGTGTAGAATACCAACCGTTTATGCTGATTTTAACCACACCAAGATTATTTGGCACAAATAAAAATCAAAGAACTGGAAGAGGTTAAAGCTAAACTTTTCTATTTTTCATATTTCTAATATCTCGGAAACTATTTGACCGATCACTAAAGTATTGATGCTTATTTAAAGATAATTTACGCGACGTGTATAGTATAACCCTTTTTAAAACAAATTTTAAATAAACGCCATTTAAAAAAATATATTAACAGCGTGGCGACGAATAACTCTTACCCAGGTTTTTTTGAGAAATAAAAGAGTCCTTTATAGATTTTGCGAAAAAAAACATTTTATTGTTAATTTTCCACAGATTTTACTTTAGTTGTATTAATTAGTTTTTAAATTTGAATCTTTATTTACATTTGCCAGCAGTGTAAACTTTGAGAGAAAAGTTCATTTGGCACGCAGGTCCTCATCAGTTAATTTATTCCATATCTTCTGTAACCATAGGCTAATTTTCTCCATTTTGAGTCCCTTATACTCCCCCTTTTGTCCAACATAAGGCCTCATACTCAAAAATATAATAGACAAAGAAACTGATATTAGCATTTAGATTCTTAATGCAAAAATGGAGTTGCATTTAGTTGCATTTAGGTGACGAATTTTGTATGGATAAATGTACATTTAGAGTAGCATTTAGAGCTAAATGCGCTAAATGTGCTTTTACGCGTAAGCAAAAACAGCCCAT